AGCGAGTGGCTGTGTGGGGCTTAGTTGCTGGCTGGGGTTAAACCACGACATGAACATACAACCTTTCATAATGATTTTCATCACGCCTTCGAAACTGGGTTTCAAAGACAACATCTCACACTCCAGTATGCAACTGCTGGGTCAAATGGCATTCTGAGTTTTCTCTTGAAACTTTCCCCATATACAAAATCCTTTAATTTTGTTTAATTCTCTGATCTTTCCACCATTCTTATTTAATATTTTCCCCTTTTTTCCCAAAATGTACAAACTGAAATTTTACAAACTCTTTCAAACCCATTAAATGTTTCTATTTTAGTAATATTAAACCAACTAATTTTATTGTTATAATTTAATTTGAAAAAATGTATTTTAATAAATTCCATTTCTGTGTAAAAAAACCTTTTGGAATGGAGAGAAAAAAAATCTTGTGATGAAAAAACTATAATGGCACATTTTGAAGAAGTCCAGAAGAAGGCTATCCTAAACAGTTTCAGGTCAAGAGCTGGTCAAGATTAATTATTTCTATAAAATATTCTCATTTTGGCAGATCAACATTTTTAATGAGAAAACGTCCAAAAATATTCTAACCAGCTTTATCTCTAATTCCTTTCTGTGCTCCCCCCTCAATCTCAAATTACTTTGAGGAGAGTGATGTCCTGTTAAAAGACACGTCTGTCTTTCAGGGACAAATGTTATAAGTTTCTGAGAGATGCAATATGATGAATATGATTACCAAGCGGTGATAAGCTGCTCCTCAGGTTTGCAGGCAAATGTTCTGCGTTTGGTGGGAAACCACAGTGCATTCACATCCTTCTCTCCATCTTGTCTTTCACTTTCTATAAAGAAAGCCTTGGCTGTGACTTCAGAGAGGATATACTTTGTTATAGCCCTCGGTAGAGGATGAAAGGCACATACTTGTCACCTCAGCTCCATATGAGCCACAAGAGGGGACTATCCCAAAGACCAGGTATTAAAATGTTGCTCATTCATTACTGGGGGGGGCGGATTCAGTCTCGCCCACTGCAAAGGATGTGGGATTGCACTGACAAATCTGAGGTTATATTTTTAGTAGACAGAGTAGATTTGCACAAACACCCCAATAGCCAAATTTCCCTCCTTATCTCAGTGTGACCCCACTGAATCCAGAGCAACTGGCCAGAGTTTAGGCTCGGAAGCAGCAAAGTGTGTGGTTAGAATTAAGCACAGATTCCACTGTTTTGCTGATAACGACAGACTTACTTACACTTGAAATTAAGCAAGCTGGACTCAGCCCTTCAGTGGTAGATTTTCTGTCAACTTTTCTGCAATAATCTTTTAAATTTTCCTTTCCCATCTCCTGTAAAAAAAAAAAAAAAAAAGAAAAAAAATCAAATAGCTCAGCTTCTTCCTCAGAGGTTTAAAGCCATAGATGCTTGCTGTACAAACAAAATCAAAAAGTTTGGTTGATGACCTGTAACACTGAAGTGAAACTATTCCTCTTAGAGCTATTTCTAGAATACTAGGCAAAAAAAGAGAACATTTTTCAACAGGACAGTCATTAATAAGGAGCTATTTGCATGTGTGCATGTGTCTGCTTTTCTATGGGTGTATACAGGGAGTGTACAAAATTAGAAGAAAGTGCTGAAAGTATATTTTTCCAGCATTCTCTGTGAAGTTAGCCAGAAACATGACAAAGAACAAATCTGGATGGGGAAACAACTAATATGTGTTCTCTTGCAACCCACGGCACGAAGAGCTCATTTTGGGCTCTTGCCATGTCTTTTCTACCCCCTTTTTGTCACATGGGAGACTCCAAGTCAGAGCACTAAAGACAATTTGGGAAAACAGCATATAAATGACAGGGCCTGCCCTGTCCTGTGACTGCACGCTCCCTAGAGACGCCTGGTCGGAAAGTTTCTGAAGAACTTTCTTTCCCCAGTGAAAAATGGGGTTATGTTGAAATTGATATTCTTATGAGAATGAAGCTTTCACAAGCTGGGATTTTTTTTTTAATGTGTTTTTTTTTAAAAACTGTTTTTAAACAAGCCCATTTAGAAAGACACTCCAGTGTTTTCACATCCCATTTTCCCACTCCGCTAGTGTGTTACATCTGGCAAACATAGCTCAGCAACTACAAAAAGTGGGTAAACCCTCCTTTTTTTTCTTGATTACATTCAGATCTTTGTCAGTAACAAAAGTTGTGGACATTGGCATAGAAAACAGTAAGCTGGTGTCTGGAAAATGCTACTGTGACTTTAGGTAACATTTTCAAAACTGCCATAATCTAGGAAATCTATATGGCCATAATTTTC